AGCTCCTAACGGGGACAGGTTTCAGTCCGTGTCCCTTGACTCTGTGGCTTTGGCCTGTGGCAGCACAGTACATCCCAGCAGAGGAAGACTGCTCACCTTGTGGTGGCAGGAAGTGAGGACGGACAGGAAGGGTCCCATGGTTCCTGCAGGGCACGCCCCCATGACCAGACCTTGGCATACTAGGCCACCCCCGCCCTCGGGCTCCCACACCTCCCTCAGCACCACAGGCTGGCCACTGCACCACAGGCTGGCCACTGTGCTGCCAGCGCCTGCCTGAGGATGCAGGGTCAGATTGGCCCAGTCCCACTTCCCTCCAGAAGGACCTGGGAATGCGTGCAGTCCAGGAGGGCTTCTGGAACTGGTACCCTGTGCTGACCTGAGAAGCTGTGGGCCAATGGGAGGGACCTTTGCTGGCATCAGGGCTAGGAGGTGCTGCCTCCCCTCAGCAGGGTGTGCTAAGCCCGGGATGTGGCCTGAAGCAGTGGGCCTTCAGGGTGGGCCTCCGTGCCAGGGTGATACCACACCCCTCAGCCCAACCCCAGCCGACTGGGCCATGTGCAGGAGCACCCCATGGCTGCAAGGCAGCCTGTGGGGTGGTGGGGTGGTTGGGTCCCCTGGGCAGCCCCAGAGGTGCCCAGTCCCTTCTGGGGCTGGGCTTGCCTCCTCTGACCCTCCCCAGGGAACATGTGCTGCCCCGTCCCTGCAGAGACAGTCTCCACCCCAGCACTATGCGCAGTGTGTGGGCACTGCGGGTGTTAGGTGGGTGCCAGCAGGCCCCTTCCTGGCTGGGCACAYTGAGGCTGGCCCCACACAGGGCAGGCTTGAGCAGAGTGAGCACTGCACTCTCCAGGCCRGAGGGACTGTGGGCATGTGTGGAGAGGACCATGGACAGGGCCCAGCACAGTGGGGCTTGCAGCCACGCCTGGGGCCTTCCACAGCTGGGCAGCAGCCCTGAGAGGACACAGGTGGGGGTCCTCAGAGGACCTGTGACCAGATGGGGGCAAGGGCCACCTGGGCCAGCATCACCTGCACTGAGTGTGCCCTCTCCAGGGACTCAGTACCCTGCATGGGCACACTGACCTCAGGGTCACTGGGAGCTTGGGCAGGTCCCCAGGCTGCGACTCCAGGGGTCAGATCCCTGGAGGGCCCTGGAGCAGGCCACCTGCAGCAGGGCTGAGAGCCAAGTGCCCCAGCACGTGGGGGCAGGGCTGCGTCCCCAGGAGCAGTCCCCAGGAGCAGCTGGGGAGGGGTGCAGCTTGCAACCAGTGCCCGCAGGAGAGCAGCTGGTGAGTCTTCTCTGCCTTGGCTCAACAGGTTCCTGTTTCCTGCTTGGACAGAGGCCCAGCCCAGCAGCCGGGCAGCCCCACCCTCACCCTCAACACTAGGGGCAGGCTGCCCCGCCCCTGCTCCCAGGCCTGCAAGTGCAGACTGGGTGGGCCACTTGCCCGCTCCTTCTACTGGAGCCTGAGTGTCTCCTGGGTGATCTCACCAGGGCTGTCAGGCGCAGCTGTGCAGGTGGCACACTGCACTGTAGTGTGTTTCTGCTCCATCTGCACAAGGGGCTCTGGGGGCTGGTGGGAYGTGTTCCCGCTGCAGGGCACACCAGAGCKTGAAGGCTGAGTCGGTGACGTTCACAATCTTTGTGGGCTCCCTGGGCACACACATGGCAGGACATGTCCCTGTGTGTGCTCATCTGTGGAYTGGGATGGTGTATGTTGGGGGGCTTGTGACTTCTGCCTGTTCTAGGGTCGCTGCTGAGCCCTCCCTCCTGTGCCCTTCTGAGCAGCAGGGTTTCTCGAGGCCCCAGTTCTGGGCAGCCCAGCTGCACGGGGCCCCAGCCGCCTGAGTGGAACCCTCTTTCCTGCCTGGGGAGGGAGAACCCAGGCCAATGGGCAGATGCTTCCTCAAGAGCAGCCTGAGCTGGGGGTCAGGAAGGGCCAGGAAAGGCCTCTGCTGCAGAAGCCTCCACTCTGCTCTTGAAGAGGGCTGTCTCCCAGCCTGCCTGGAGTGTTCAGGAAGTCTGCATGTGCTGAACTGCCTGGCTGGGCTCACATAGCAAAGGCAGGTGCCCCTGCAGCCCCTCCCGCCAGGCTGGCTCATACCACACAGCGTGGGCCTGGCCCTGGTCCTGCCAGGGGGGAGTCAGCGCCCCTCCCATCCCAGGAGCTGGTGGGGTCTGGCACGGCCTCCTCCCCAAGCCCAAAGGTATCCACTGAGGCCCTGGCTGGGTCTGGGGGCCATGTATGTGGGTTGCCCTGAGGCACACCCTGTTGCCCTGGCTGGCAGCGAGCTCAGATGAATGACACCAGCAGATTTGGTGCAGGTCCCCACTGGCCTGCTGGGTTTCCTGTGCCTCCACATGCTGCACTGCCTGTGGCCACAGGGGCAGTAGGACACAGYCTGGGCCTCCACTGCCCCGTGAGCTCTGGGCTAGGATGTGGCTGGGGGCTAGGGCGTCACAGGGAGGCATGTTGGTGTCACTGGGCAGGAGTGGAGGCCAAGGAGCAGTGCTGGCCAGTCTGTCTAGAGTCCCTGGTATGCCCCTCACTCCCTCCACACTCCCCCAGGACCCTTCCACGCCTCCCCAACTTCCCACACACCTGCACACCCAAGCCAGGGGCTGCTCCTGCGTGCCCTGCCAGGCCGGGCACCCTAGACCTCATGAAGGCTCAGGGCTGGGCTCCTGGAGCCCCAGTGTTGGCCAGCAGGGACCCAGGGTGCATGCTGCCAGCCTGGGAGCAGCCTGAGCACAGCTGAGGTGGACAGAGTAATGCAGACCTGCAGAAATAGGTTCCCAGGCTCGTGGGCGCTGCGCCTGGCCGCTCCCACCCCTCTGCCCTCGCTGCCCACTCGTCCCCTCTGAACCTCCAGAGAAGCTGCAGACATCGTGGCCCTTCACACACAGAGGTTCCCAGGTCCAGGGCCCTCTGACCCCTACGGAGGGCTGGGAGGCCCCGTTGAGGGCCCCACCTGGTCGCCGCCCCAGGGTGGGGAGCAGGGCTGAGTCAGAGCTTGCCGTGCCAGAGCCAGGGCCCACCACCCCTGCCCAGGGTGGGCATAAGGCTGAGGTCAGGCTCCCTGCAGGTCCCTCCTTCCCTGTGTGGGGCTGGATGAGGCCAAGCTTGAGACCCCACCTGGGCAGGGCCACAGAACTGGCAGGGATCTGAGGCCTGGGAAGGGGCTCAGAAACCCCAGAGGGATGGCAGAGGCTGGGGCTCCCCCATGTGCAGAGCAGCAGGAGCTTAGTGCCCCACCTGGTAGGGAAGGCCTCCCTCGCCTGATTGAGGGTGGGTCCTGAGGGAGAGCCCCTCTGCTGGGCGGAAGGGGCCAGCTGTCCAGTGCTGAGGCTGTGCCTGAGACCATGTCCTGTCCACGCCCAGACCTCCTGGGTTGCTGAGGTCTCTGCCCAGTGGCCAGCAGACCTGGCCGGCTTTGTCCTCAAGTGTGTGGACCCAGCCGCTGCCCTGGAACCTCTCTCCTGGACCAGCAGTGGTCTGTCATGATGACCGTGTGTCAGAAGAATGTGGTGAGCAGAGCCCAGCCCGGCCAGCCGCAGGCCTTGGGGAACAGCCCTTCTGGACCCTCCCTCCGCTGTTCTTGTCCCTCAGCACTGTGTGCTCAGCCCCTGCCACTGGGGATTGAGCCCTCTGACAGCCACATCCCCAGCCCTTTTCATAGTTTTTATTTTGGAACAGCATCTCACTAATTGCCTAGGCTAGCCTTGAACTCAGGTCCTCCTGCCTCAGCCTCCTGAGCCACTGTTCCTAGCCACGCCGTCCTTTATAGTTACTGGAGGTGTTCCTTCCTAGGCTTAGGAGGGTGGGGACACATCTGTCTTAGTTTCTGCCCAGAACGTAGGAACTCTGAAGGCTGGCTGGGCGGATGGAGGGACGAGCAGACTGCTGGTCAGGTGGTTGGCTGGTTGGGTTTTGATCAGCTGGGTAAGAGGATGGGTGGGTGGATCGCTGGTTGGACGATTTGTTGGTTGGTTGGCTGGCCCGMTGGTTGGTTGGTTGGCTGTGAACCAGGATTGGCTCCGCCTCTTGGCGTTGGCACCATCAGGCACACTGGCAGGGCCCTGGGGTAGGTCTCCAGCCAACATGTGTCCGTGACTTGGCCAAGTCTGCCCCAGCAGCCAGGGGCAGTGGGGGCCAGGCGGGCAGGCAGGCAAGCGAGCACATTGTCTTGAAGGGCCCGCACAYGTCCTGCAAGCTGGATGGCCATGACCTCAGCATGTTCACGAGGACAGCTGGGGACGTGCCAGAGACTGTGAGCAGGCCTGGAGGCTGAGCCCTGGTGTGAGCAGGCATCCTGCCATGGCCCTCGCCCACGTGCCCTGTGGCGTCGCCTCCAGAGATAGAGTGCCTAGCGCTGGCTGTGGCTCCATCCCCTGTGGACTTGCCCCTTAGGGCCGTGGTGGTCATCTGTGGAAAGGGGATGAATGTTCTTTCCCCTCAGGGAAGCCAGGGGAAGCAGGGCAGGGCCACAGGGCCTTCGCCCKACCTGGGCCTCGTGTGCTGGTGTGGTGGCGAGGCCAGTCAGTGGGTCTTGCAGATGGCACACTGAGGCACAGAGTGGCCCAAAGGCACATGGCCAGGGAGGCACTGTGCTGACTGTGGGCACTGGGTGTGGGAGTCCTGGGGCCTCCTGACCAGCTTCCTGCTTGGCCAGGGACAGGATGTAGGCAGGGACCCCAAGGAWGCCCTGAGTCAGCAGCTCAAGAAATAGGATGGAGCCCATGGGGGTTTAGGTATGCTCTGTCCCATCTCCTCCTGGTGCAGGTCACCACAGGCTTCAGGGTCTGCAGGCTCTGCCCTCTGCTATTCTCCACAGACCCCAGACCCTCAGCTCAGGAGGAAGTGTCTCCCCTGACCAGCCCCAGCAACCAGGGAGGTCCCTGGGCTGCAGCGTGGGTCCCAAGTCAGATGCAGAAGCAGGAGGGCCTGGGACAAATGGGCTCAGGTGTGTGTTTGCCTGAGACTGTCTCTCCCTGTCCCCAGATGAAGGTTGCTGTGTCCAGAGGGGGTGACCACAACAGTGACGACGACAATATTCTTGAAGCCAGCAGCTCCCGGCAGAGCAGTCCCCAGGACCAGCTCAGCGACGTGAGTGCCCTGGCACCACCCGGTTCCCSGTTCCTGGGGCTCTGGTCTGGCTGCAGGCAGTTGGGGGTTTGCTCTAGAAGCATGACTTACTCCTTAGGATGTCCCCACGAGAGGGATTGTGGGTGGGACTATTAGGAATACCAAACTCACCACCCCAGTACCCACATGGCCACCAGCATGACCCCAAGGTTCCAGAGTGTGCTCTAGGGATGAACTGGAGGCCAGGTGCCCCACGCTGAGTGGTTGGTGGGGCTGAGCCTCCGACAGATCCCGAAAAGAGTCCTGAGGTGTGTCATAGGCACTGCAAGGCTGGCCTGACTAGGAATGACCCTCCAGCATCCCAGAGGGCTGGACCCGGGGCTGCAGGTCCCTGGGGGTGGCCAGCTGCAGTTCAGGGGGAAGGGACCTGGTGCTGGCTCAGGGATGGCACAGCCCTGGTGGCTCAGGTCCTTAGGCTTGCGGCTCAGGCTGGGATTCCACTAGTGGTGGGGCTTGAACCTCAGCCAGGGCCTGGGGAGGGGGCGGGCACCCCTCCCCTAGTTCTAAAGTGGCCCCAGGTGGCAGGCCCCCCTCCCCCAGGACTGAATGAAGTGGGGCCTGGGTGCCTGCAGGCACCGGGGGAGGCACAATGGCCAGGCTCCCTGTCTTGCTGCCTGGAGATGTGGAAATAGGCTGGCAATTGTCTGGGGCCCAGGGCTGCCCCAGTTAGCCCTCCTCTAGCTGCCTGTCCAGCCAGAGTGGAGACAGTTCCGCCTGCACCTAAGAGCTCAGGAGCCACATAGGCCCCCACCCCTCAGCTGCCGTCAGGGCTGTTGGGAAGGGGAGGACACCTCCTCCCCACTCTGCAGGAGGGCCAGATGGGTCTGAGGGAAGAGGGAGGGGTTGCTACTAAGCGGGCTGCCCCCTCCCTCTGGTCTTCCTCCACACCCACCCCAGCCCTCCAGCCTTCCTGCCACGACCTCTACCGTGCCCCCGGGTCAGCAAGGACACCCACTGCTTAGTCCTGGTGGGGCGCAGTACCCACCCATCCAGCAGGGTGTGCTGCTCCTAGAACCACCCCTGCAGTGTCTCTTGCCCAGAACTGGCCAACGCTCAGCTCCGTCCTGCCTTCTGTAGCCAAGTCCTTGAGGCCCTGTCTGGGAAGGTCTGTGGGCCTGTCTCCAGCTGGGGTGGTGGGCACTGGGAGGAGGTGCTGTGGTCCACTACTGATCATCCTTTCTTCCTCTGCAGAGCTCAGCGCAGGCCGCGTCTGGGAGAGGATACTCCGTAAGTCTCCAGGCCCCTCCACCCTGCTGAGTGGCCCCTKCCACAGAGCCCGCCCCCAGCACACCTGCCCAGCAGCTCCCACACCCAGGCTCCACCATCCTGGGATCTGCTTCTGGCCGTGACCTTGGGGGGGTGGATGGTGCACATGCCCTGGGGCCATGATTCACAGGGATATGCCACTTGGGGACACCCACGAGGCACTGCATGCGGGCCTCTGCCAGGAGCCACAGGGTGCTCAGCCCACATGGGCACAGCAGGCATAGCCTCAGGTACCTGAGCACAGATGGGCACAGGGACTCGTCCTGGAGCTGGTGCCGCCAATGGCCAGTACAGGGGAGGGGGACTGGGGCCTTGGGAAAGTGCACCGTGCATTTACGAGCGCCATCCAGTGACATCCTGTGCTGATGGGTRTTTTGGGCCAACACCTGGCCCCGCCAGATCCGCTGCTCCAGGCTCCCTCAGAGCAGCCCCTGCACCCTCCTGGCAACCCTTCCTTTTCCCTCAATGTCAGGAGGAAGGTAGGTAGTGTGAAGCCCAGATCTCCATAAAAGCCATCTCTGCAATCCACAGCCCCATCCCTGTGGCCACAGCGACCCCCGGGTATGTGTTTCACCTATTAATTACTCAGTGGGGCCAAGCACAGAGAGCGCCACAGCTCCCTGCTGGGCTTCCGCGGGACCTGGAAAGGACAGGAGTGAGCAGGCCATGGCCATTGCTTCCACACCACAGCTCCAGTGAGCAGGCCATGTCCTGTGTATTCCCACATGCCACAGCTCCAGTGAGCAGGCTGTAGCCAGCGTGACCCCAGGTGCCACAGCTCCAGTGAGCAGGGCATGGCCAGCAGTGGTCAGGGCTATGCCAGACACACCAAGCCTGCTGTTGTGGTGGCAGGTCCCACAGTTGCTGCAGGCTGTTGTGTAGGTTGGAGAAGCTGAGAACTAGACTTCTCCAGGACAGGCAAGGTGGCTGGACGTGGAGTCGGCCATCTCATGTCTGGGGCACTTGGCAGAGGGAATGTGGATCTGAGTCCCACCGCCACACCCCAGATTTCCAGGGAGTTGGGGTTCTCGTGGGCAGGAAGAGTGCTGGGTGCCTGGGCCAAGCCCCCGAGGTGGAGGCACCGTGTCCCTGTGAGCACCACAGAGGTCCTCCCAGTGGCCACAGCTGGGGCGAGGGCAGGTCCTGTGCTCAGTTAGGTGCCCTGCCTGGTGGCCAAGGCTTCCAGGCCAGCTGTGGCCCTGGGGTGGCTGGTCTCTTCCTGCCCCAGCCACTGGCTGCTCCTCTGCTTCCAGATCCCTGCTTGTCTCCCAAGCTCCTCCCCAGACGCTGCCTGGTTGGCGGTTCTGGAGAGCCTGTGACTGACTTGCCAGCTGCCCCAGCACAGCCCCCACAGCTGCTGTAGGAGTGACAGATGGTGGCAGGGCAGGCGTCGCTCCCCTCTGAGCAGCAGCCCAGGCAGCCCTAGGTCTGCAGATGGTCCTCTGGGTGACGGAAGCCCTGGTGCATGCAGATGGGCCCTGGGTGTGCAGGCCTGTGTGTTCGACCCCAACAGGGCCCTGCTGTTTGTAGGTGGCCTGGTGCAGAGCACAGGTGGTCAGTCCTGGCCCTGCAGGCTTTCATCACACCAGTGAGCCTCTCGTCCAGTCRGCATGGGGGTCAGACCCCAGGCAGACAGTGGGGCCAGGCCCGTCTTCAGAGGCTGAGGAGCTGCAGCCACCTGGGTGGCCTGTGTGCAGCAGAGGGGCTGGAGCAGCAGGGGCCAGGTGAGAGCTGCAAGATGCCGTGAGCCCAGGGTGGGCCCCAGGGGCCTCAGACCTGTGCCCTCGGGTTGGCTGGCTCATGTCTGTGTGGAGCTTACCTGGGGCCCTCGGTACACCTGTGTGTTGGCGCATGACTGCCATGTGCCTTCGGGCGTGGCCTGCCTCACCTGCAGTTGTCAGGAGAGCCCTCAGGGGCAACTGTGGGCACATATCGGGCCTGTGTCTGCATGTGGGTGTACAGGCAAGCTCCAGGCCTCTCCAGCAGCTTGGAGCCCACTAACAAGGAGCACACACATGGCCTGTCCCTCCCCAGGGCATCCCTGACCCAGGTGGCAGGGATGTTTGTCAGCTGACCTGATTTCTTAGACCCTTTTCTAAGTGGGCTAATTCTGCAAAGACCTTGTCCCCAGCAAGTCCCCTGTCACTGCTCACCCTCAATGGCTTGTGTCCCAGAAGCAGGCCCCACCTCCTGCATAAACCATCAGATCTTTGTTAATGCCATGAAATTAGTTAGAAAGCAATCTTCCTAATTTGGCTGCTTGCATCCAAGGCTGAGGGGGTCTGCTTCCTACAGAGCAGGGTTGGGCTCCCTTCGTAAAGGGGAAAGGCCCTGTAGACACCTGCAGCTGCTCCTGCAGAGGCCCCTAGGTGGAGGTGACCAGGACAGAGAGGAGGAGGCAGAACAGCTTCAGGTGGTCCTTGCTGTGACTGCCAACCTGTGAGGTGGGCACTTGGTTCTAGCCCACTCTTTTCCTCCAGAGAAGCTCAGGGCCTGGAGCCAAGACCTCTACCGCCCTCCAGCCGGAGCCCTCCACCTGGAAGCTCTTCCCAAAGCCACCCAGGGCCCTCATCATGGTCAGGAAGGAGCTGACCATGTGCCCTACCCTCCTCTGTTCCTAAGAGTGCCACTAAGACCTCTATGGTCCCCACCACCTGCCCTCCTCGTGTCTAGAGCATGACTTGTGGCCCCCAGACAGAAGAAAACCAGCCAGTGTTTGTCCAGTGTCTCCTGTGGCCAGTCTCTGTGACTGGAAGTGTGCACAGAGATGGTCGCCAAGCTCAGGAGAAGCTGCCCTGGTGAGGTGGTGAACAGGGTGGCGGGCAGGTCCAGGCCTTGCTTAGAGAGTACCAGAGGGCTGGAACTCCAGCACAGCATGCAGGGGGGGGGGGCAGGCATGCTAAGGGGCACCACAAGGGGGTGAGGTCCCAGTTAGCTAGCAGGGCCCAGGGGTGAACCGAGAGGGGGCAGAGGCCAGGCCAGGTGGAGCTCTGACTGATGCAGCATGGGGGACCCATGCTGATGGTGGGAAGAGGAAGCACCTCCAGCCTCATCTGGGGCTGGGCAGCCAGAAAGGAGGGCCAGCCCGAGGCTAGGGCAAAGTCTGACAGGCAGGTTCATGGTGTCATCACACAACCCCTGGGTCACTTCTGAGGCAGGTCATGACATCACCACACGGCCCTGGGCCACCCCCGAGCAGCTATGACTGTACAAATGCAATGAAAGCACATCACGTCCCCAAGAGTCAGGAGAGTCCCTGCCCCTCATGACTTCTGCACACAGGGTCTTGAGGCCAGCTGCTGGAGGGGTGGCCAGTGCAGGAGGAGCAGCATCCACCTGTGCCTGTTCTGCCTCCTGTCGTCCACCCGTGTGCCCGGGTAGTGACCTAGGCTCTACACCAGGTGCCAGGGGCACCACAGACCAACCACRGAAGGCCCTGCCCTCTGGGCCTGCTCTCCTCAGGGCAGAGGGCAAGAAAGGTGGCCTTTCAGGAGGAACCACCCGAGCCTGGGCTGTGCCGARGGAGACAGAGCAGGGTCCCTGCCGTAGCCACAGGTGAAACTGGCGAGGCCTCTGGACAAGGGCATCTCTGAGGTCAGGGAACCCCAAGGAAGTGGGTGCTGATGGTAAGGAACTGGGAGGGCGGGGAGCAGGGGCTCCTGCGGCCCTGTCCATGCCATGCACAGGGCTAGATGAGGGCGGGAGGACTGGCGGGCTCCCCTGGTGCAGGCCAAGGCTGGCCTGCTCCAGCACCAGCATAGCGGCAGGAGGGGAGGCAGCCTGCAGAACCTGGGAAGGGTCTGTCTCCCTGAGCCGCAGGCTGTGGTGAGGACCTGGGGGCCGAGTGTGGTTTGGGAGAGCACTGGTTCTCGAGAACGCCCCAGTTCTCCATTGCCCTTTCCATCCCTTCCTCAGTGCTTCATCTCACAGTGCAGATGTGGAAACAGAACAGAACTCAGTGTCATGCACTGGTGCTGCCCCCAGAAGGCCAAGCCCTGCGAGCGAGGGTGTCCTCACTCTGCCCCCAGAAACAGGAAATGACCCTTCAGACTGCCTGGCAGCCCCCTCCACCCTGTATCCCATGCCAGAGGACTCCCTCCCGCCCACAGTTTAGCCAGCAAGTCATTCTTCTGTGGCATAGAGTGAGGTGGCGGCCAGTGGGGGGTGGGGCCAGCAGTGCTGGGGTGGCCTGGGCATGTGCCTTGTCCCTGGATAGGCCCTCCATGGGCTGAGAGCCTCCCCTGGGTCTGCTGCAGGGTAGCCCACCTCTGAGAGCCGCTGCCCTCGGAGCCTAGACCCAGTGGCCTGGTGGCCCCAGAGAGCGCTCTCCTACGCCCTCCTCTTGCCCCTGCTGACTCGCGGGTGCCCACAGTTTCCTGTCTGCTGCTCTGGAGCAGGTGTCCTGAGTRTACGCCACCCAGTGGCCTCTACATAGTCCAGAAGCAGGTCATGGCCAGAGGCCCCTTGCCCTGCTTCCCCAGCATGGATAGCACACAGGGCAGAACAAGCCTGGCCTCAGAACCTAGCCGTGGCCCTTCACTCACGGAGTCCACTTGGGGGCCACCCCCTGCCCTTCCCCATGCTCCAGAAACCTCTCTGGCCCCACCAGCTCCAGGCTAATGAGAGTTGCTGCCCGAGCATGAGGCGGGCCCTTGGGGCTGACCTCCCAAGCTGGGGGGCTGGTGTAGGCTCTTGGAGTCACCTATCCTGATCCTGCCACAGGAGCCATGCCCACCCCGTGCCCTCTGATCTGGGATTGGGTAGTGGGTCACCAAGGAGATGGTCTGGCTTCCACGGCAGCTCTGACTGTTATGGGTCCTGGGCCAGGAACCCCCACCTTCCTCCTTCCTTCCTGAGGTTCCAGTGGCTTCCTGTCCTCACCAGGTGGCCAGTCCTGCCCCTGACCACAAGTCCTGAACCATGATGAGCTGCAGGATCAGGTCTAGTCCAACTGAGCACTTGAGGCCCCCAGATTCCTTGGCCTGCCCTCTTCCCGCTGCACACCCCCAATGAGCCCTAGGACTTGTGCAGGGCCAGATACAGGAGGGGTGTCGGAGGCCCGGCCAGTGGTCGTCCTTGGTGAGGGTGCCTGCGGGCAGGAAGCCCACTGGAGTTTGGGAGGTCCTGGAGGCCTGGCCGTGTTGCCCCACGCAGTGGGGATCAGTGTTGGGGGCTCCTTGTTGAGCCTGCGTGTGGATCAGTGACTCATAGGCAGTGGGCACTAGAGTCGGGCACGTGAGGTCTCCCTTTGGTACACTCAGAAAGGTCAGCTCCCGGGGGCAGAGCATCCCTTATAATTCCAGCTCTGGCTCTCTGTCCCCTGGCCTAACTGGGACAGGCAAAGGCTCTGAGGTGTGCAGGGCGGATGCCTGGCAGGCTGCGGCGGGCCCTGCACTCCAGGCYGGAGCGGAGGTCTGCAACACCTGCCTTTCTGTCCACGGCATCCAAGGGGAGGGCAGGAGGGGGATGCTGGGGTCTGTCAGAGAGCAGAGGGGCAGGGGGTCACTAGGCTTGGTGGCACTGCAGAGGTGGAGGGCGGGGCCTTCCCGAGAAAGTAGGCCAGGCCCAGTGGAGCTGTGGTCAGTTAGGCTACCAGGCTAGGGTCCAGAGGCAAGGTGGGTGATGCTGGGAGATCGGGGGTGCACAGGGGGTAGTGGATTGTGCCTGTGGCCGGGTCACCCTTGGCTGTGTGGTGGAGGCCGAGGACCTATAGCCAGCAGCAGAAGGGAGGTGTGTGCCTGGTAGAAGGCCAGGAGGCCAGAGAGGGACCAGGCCAGGTGCCGCTCACCCTCCCAGGGGCCTTGAGCGCTCACTGCCCAGAGCTCTCCTRGTCTCAGAGCAGAGCTGGGTTTGAGGATCAGCTGACCCTACGCAGGCTGTCGGCCCAGTGGAGGCCACGGACACTCCAGAGTGCTGCCAGCTACCCTTGTAGGACTTCTTTGTCTCTCCTTCCCCTCAGCTTCTCCCTCCCCTCAGCTTCTCAGTATCTCTTTCTCCCCTCAGCTTCTCTCCTCTATCTTTCCCACTTGTCAGCTTCTCCCTCCCTGTATCGCTCTGCTTCATCCCGTGGGTGCTGCCCATTTTTACCCAAGCCTTCCTGGGGTCCATCTGCAGGTCCTTTCGTCACCCTCAGCGTACACCCACCCAGTTCCCACTGTCGGCTCTCATCCCCTCCTGGCCATCAGCTGGGCTCTCCTGGCAGCAGAGCCACCCTGCTAAGCCCACCTGGCCTGTCCCTCTGGTGGCTCTCAGTAGCTGCCTGACTTTCCCAGCTGCCCCCTGCTCCATCACAGGCCCCTCCCCCACCCTGCCAGGAGTCCTCCCCAACTTGTCCCCTCCCTGCCCCTCCTGTAGCACTTCTGCCTCTTGCGTCCTGACTTTGCCCTCTGTAGCCAGGGTCTCTAGAGGACCCCTATACCCAAGGGTCCACCAGCCCAGGGAGGTGGAGGACAGAGATGACCCCAGATGCTAAAGCTGTCGCACAGTCTGGGCAGGACTCTGCATAGTACTGAGCTCAGTGTGCTGCCTCCCTGGGATCACCCAATGCTGGCTGCTGGTTTGAGCAGGTGGCTTGGCTGGATGTGCACCACACCCRAGCATGGGGTGTGGTTCCATCTAGCCTGCCTCTGCAGAGAAGGAGCTACAGGTGGTCTTAGGCTACCTGCAACAGAAGGTGGAGGTGGTGACAGGAGGGAAGAGGCAGGAGTAAATGGTGATGGAAGAGATGGTGTGGTAATGAGTATGAGGATAACAGTGATGGTGGAGGTGGAGGTGATGGTAGAGGTGGAGGTGGTGGTGATGGTGGAGGTGGTGGTGGTGAAGGAGATGGAGATTATAGAGGTGGTGATTATGGTGATGGAGGTGATGGTAGAGGTGGAAGTGATGGTAGAGTTGGTGGTGATGGAGGAGGTGGAGGTGATGGTAGAGGTGGTGGTGATGATGGTGATGGAGGTGTTGGTAGAAGTGGTGATGGTGGTGGAGGCAATGGAAGTGGTGATGATGGTGGTAGTGGTGAGGAGAATACCATCACACATTAGACTACTGTGTCCACCACTGTTCCAGTGTTTTGTATGTACTCACTCATATAAGCCACATAACGATAGGCTTTTGTCCCTGTTTTACGGAAACATAAACTGAGACACAGAAAGGGCAAGGGATCTGTCCAAGGCTGCACAGCAGAGGAGGCAGGGTAGCATCAGAGCAGTCTTCTGCTTCAGGGCTCATATCTCCGCCCTTCCCCATGGGCCTGAGGCCTGCCAGGGCAGCCACACCCAGCTCCAGCTCCGTGAAGGTCTGCTCACTTGGGCAGCTCCCAAAGCAGATATGACCGTTCTCGCCCTGACCTGACCAGTCACCTCACCGGACCTTGACTAGCACAGGTTCACTGTGGTCCTGCCCAGGCTTGGCCGGCAGCAGGTGCAGCTTGGTAACTCTAGGATCCTGGCTGCTGTTCTCTCCCGCCTTCCAGAAGGCTCCCTCCATTATTGCTGGACAGTCTAACAGCCTTCCACAAGTCTCACTGCCTCCTGGCCCAGCCCAGCCTCAGGCCCAGAATCCATGAGGAAGCCTGTGGCCGGCTAGGGTCTCTAGCAGGGCTCTGGGGGCTGGCAAAGGAACAGAGGACAGGCATGGCGAGTGGTCCTGGTGGATGCCGGTCCTGGCACATCCATGTGGCCCCGTGTAGCAGGCAGGGCAAGCAGGAGCTGATGCTCCTTGCACCCTAGAGGTTTGATGGGATTGCTGTTTGCAACTTTGGTCTCCATGTGGGGATCGAGCAAGTGAAGTTCCCACTGGACGCCCCCCCCCCCACACGCTGTAAGATCCACGGGGCCACAGACAGGACTCTGGGGCCTCCCACAGCCACAGGCTCCCCTTCCCACATCACTAGTGTGGCTATGGCCAGGCAGGTTCTGCCCCTCCCCTCCCCACTTTCCTTCTGTTCCCCTGGGGTCTGGGCAGTCCCATCCCCACCCACATCCTTGTCCTCTCTCCTGACAAGCTCTGGGCAGTGGTGAGTGGCAGAATCTCTTCCCTGACCAGGGGCCCTGGGCCTGCCTGCAGCCAGCCCACACCTGCCACCCAGGCCAGGGAGGGACCACTGTGCACTCACAGGCTCTGTGCCTTTGTGGGGCGTGTGGATGACTCTTGGCACAAAGCCCCCAGCCAGGGCCCTGGGCAGGCCCAGCTCCATCATGCCTGGGGGCTCCACACAGCCCACTGGGCACACCAGCTCACAGSCTGCAGGTATGAAGTCTGCCAGCCACAGAAGGCCCCTGAGCCTGTCCCTGCTGCCTGGGGTCCCACCCCCACTCAGAGCTGGCCTTGGAGGTCGCTGGTCCCTAAGCAGAGAGTGGCTGGTGAATCCCAGCTTGCCGCAGCTGCAGTGTTGGGGCTGGGGAGGCCTGCCCTGCCGGCGCCTGGGGAGGCCACCTGGTGTCAGCACGTCAGCCTGGAGGAGCCTTTCCTTGCTATTCTTTTAGGGGAAACTGTATTGTTCTCTAGCTCAGTTCTTCTTATTGAAAATGGAAAACAAAGATATGTTCTGTGAACTCCCACCTGGCCTGGGCCCCTTCTCAGCCACAGGTGGCCCTGGCCTGGCACTCACACTCCTGCAGGAGGAGCTGGGTGCTGGGGCCGCCTCAGAGTCCCAACTTCAGACCAGGACAGGGAGCGTGGGCCCCAGGCATACCTGGTTTACCTAGACAGCCATGCCCCGAGGGGCCACTGACACCAGGGCCTGTCCCTCCAGGGTGCAGGAGCCTGTGACCACAGCCAGGAATGAAAGCCCTCCTTTGGGATGGGACCCTGGTGTGCATCTCATGCGGTCCCTGTGTCTGTGCAGAGGGGCGCTGGTCTCCAGAGCCTTCTCTGTGGGGCTGTGAGCTGTGGGGCCCAGGGCCCTCAGCTGAGATGTGGCAGGGGACACCCACAGGTGCCTGCCACTTGTGCCCCAAGGGGCAAGAAGGTCCTGACCYACCTCTCTCTCTCTCTCTCTGTCTCTACAGTGTGATAGCGAGAGTGGCATGGACGACAAGGTAAGCCTCCCCCCAACCCCCTCCTGCCCACCCCTGCCCACCACCACCCCCAGCCTGGGTGAGAGGCTCGGCACTCAGGGCTGTCCCTGCTGGAGGGTAGCACAGGGCAGTGTGACCTCCCTGGTGGGGCACCAGCCCCACCCAGCCAGATGGGAACTCTGCCCTGGGTGGCTGCCCAGGCTCCGCAGAGTACAGGCCCCAGTGGATGCCCGCAGACCTGTCTGCACCAGGTGCCCTGTGGAGCTCACCAAGGGCAGCCTGGGCCAGGTGTGTTTGGGCCAGTCCAGGTCCAGGCCACAGGCTGTCGTGGAAAGCCAGGGGCCAGGCAGTCCCCGGGGCAATGGCTGCGTGCTGCACTGACAGGTTCCAGGTCTCTGTGCTGCCCACACTGCAGCACCCCCCMTACAGGCCAGCCCTCCTCGCCATGCTGAGGTCCTGCTGTTGGGCACGTGGTCTGGGGTCAGCACCCGAGAGGAGCCCTGGAGCACTGGCCTCATGCACGGCTCCCTCCCGCCACCACAGCTCTTGGGCTCCGCCTCCCAATGTGGCCACTGTTCTGGTCCCACTGGTGACATCAGTTCGAGCGCAGGGCCAGAACATCTCTCAGCACCCATATTTAAACAGGGTCTGCAGGAGGCGCTGGCGGCTGCCCCTCCTGCCCTCCAGGAGAAACAGAGTGCCACCCTGCTCTCCATCTCAGCCCAGCCTGCCAGGACCCCACTGTGTGGCCTGAGGCACACCCAGGGCCACACGGTGGCATGCGGCTCCTCCCCCAGCGAATCTGAGCTTTCCTGTAGCCCTGCAGGGAGCACCCACTCCTGGTTTTCAGGGAGGCCTCTGACCAGAGGGGCTGGCAGCGTCCTGTGTATTGGGCTGGACCTCAAGCCAGGTCCTGGAGACGGAGGGCAGAGTCACCCTGGCTCCACACTGCACCCCAGCCACCCACGCAGGTGACTCTGGGAGTGCCTACAAATGAGGCCCGCCAGCCCTGGCTCCGGGGCAGCTGCTGTGGTGGTAGGAGAACCTGGCAGAGGAGGAGAGGCCTAGAGGGTGGAGGAGCAGCTCCCCTCCCGGCTYGGTGTCCCCCCAACCCAGAGAGCCAGGACTGCAGTGGGCCGGGAGGCACAGCCCCACACCTCTGGCGACATCCGAGGCCTTCAGCGCCTAGAGGGTGGGCACATCTGCTGGTGTGCTGGAGAGCCCCTGGGGAAGGCAAGGTCTTCCTGCTCACCCAGCTGCCCTTCCTGAGCTCCAGGGGGTATTSGGAGGTGCCGTGTCCTCCCAGGACAGATGCCGGGCCTGAGCATCTGCAGAGCTGACCTGCAGGTGGGACAGCAGGGATGGTCTGGGCAAGCTCCGGGCCTTGTTCAGGAGCCACCACCTGGGTCCTCCTGAACATGCAGGGACACCTGCTGACCCAGAACTCACAGCTGTCTCCACAGCAAGGGTGCCTGTTCCTTGGGTGCTGGTCCCTGAGCTTGAGGCCACCATGGGCAAGTCTGGGCTGGATTTGCATCTGCCCAGCTCTGAGTTCCAGGTGGAAGGAATGTCCTCCCCGCTGGGAACAGCTGTGCAGAGTACCTTCCCCTGCTAGAAGGGACAAGTCAAGGGAGGACAACTCCAAGGTGGTGAGTTCCTGCCTTCCTGAGATAGGCCCTTGGTGGAAGCAGGACAGGTCTGGGTGTACAGAAAGGACACCTGAGCCACCCAGACTTGCAGGCCAGTGGAGGCCCTCATGCTTCTCACAGGACTGGCATGGCTGTTTATGTCCCTAGGTACATGGTGGCCCAGAAACAGATGGGTCTTGGGCAGGAGGCAGTGTGGCCACAGAGGCTTGGCCTGCTGCTGCCCCTGCAGATGCCCTCTGGGTTCCAGGAAGCCCTACCTGCAGGAGCAGACGCCTGGCAGAACTAGACGCCTACTTGGACAGGGCAACTGGGGTGGATGGCTGCAGCTCTCCTGGCCACTTTCCTCAGTGGGCACCCTCTCTCCCTAAGCTACCAGGGTCTGACCTCAGTCTGGGCACAAGCTTCTGCCAGCCCCCATCCCTGGGAACTGCCTGGGGCTCTGCCATGGGTCACGACAYAGACATCCCTCCTGGCAGAAGGACAGACAGGCACACAGGAGACCTGTCATCTCCTTCCCCACCATGCCACCAGCACCCCTCCCTGCACAGCCTTCAGGGCCCCTCTGGCCCTGCCCCATGCCACCCGACTCTGTGTATGATGGCTCTAGCGCTGGGGATACTGTCAGCAGCTCAGGAAAATGGCAGGAAGATGGTTCTGAGAGACTGCGGTGGTTGTCTGGCTGCTTTCTTGTTGGAAAACTACAGGCATGAAATTATGTGGGGCTCACTAGGCAGCCCGAGGGGTTCAGTGTGGCTGTCGGCTGCTGAGAGCTCCTGGCAAGATGGCAGTACTCCTCCTGGCTGCCCTGAAGCCACAGCCCCACACCTCTGGCGACATCCAAGGCTTTCAGTGGACAGCCACTAGGCCATGTGCTCAGTGCCCCAGCCGTGGCTACAGGCTGGGACCAACAGGTCTTGAAGGGCTCCCAAGGGGAGAGCAGGGACGCTCTGGTGGGTCTCTGTGGGCAGCAGCAGAGGTGGGGCATGACAGTGGAGTGGGCCTGCAGGTCCCCAGCTTCAGTGGTGCCTGTGGCCGGGGCAGGTGGAAGGCACCACAGGAGGTGAATGTGGCCTGTGAAAGGCTGGTGTGCGGGCGGCCTCACTCTGACCCTGGACCCCAGCAGGAGCTGTGCCTAACTGGGCTCCTCTYTGGGCCTATCTTCTTGGTGGGTGTGAGGGAGGCCCTGGCACATGAGGGACCAGCTGGGAGCAACAGCACATCCCCAGGATGGGCCCAGGGCCCGCTTTGAGCAGTTGTGGAGCAAGGGTGTCCTGGAGGGGCCTGGGCACACGGCCCTTGGTGAAGAAGAGCAGGCCTAGGGCTATGTGCCCAGGTGGGGCACACGCACTTGGTGCAGGCCCCACCTGACCCCGGCCACTAGGCTCTGGGGCTGCAGACACCCAGGTCAGACCTGAATTTGGACAAGAGGAGAGGCAGAGCAGCAAGAGCTCTGTCCAGGTGGCCGCTGCCCACCCTGCAGCCTCAGCTGAGAGGCAGCCAGGCCTCCCAGACCTGGCCATGTGCTCCTTGGAAAGCCGAGCCCTGTGGCCCCGGGTCCCTCCCAGACAGCCACTTGTCACCTGGTATTTGTCATCTGCTCCCTTCTAGAGGGTGCTTTGGGCCATGGCCCCTGCAGACCCTGCCTCCCTCTGGCCCTAGAGTCCTCCTGAGTGGAGACACTGGATCCCAGTGGAGGCTTGCAGGCCTGCTGGGCCCTGAGCRAGCCTCAGATGGGGGTCTTCAGGCTGCGGGGTGGAGGTGAACATCCAGGCCAGCTTTGCTGGGAGTCAGGCAGAAGCTTCGGACATAGACAAGGGGCCCAAGGCTGGCCCTGGGCGACACACGCCCGTCTGGCTGCTGGACCCAAGCACAGTGCCACCCACTGAGTCCAGCCTCTGTCCTCTGATGTGACAGCTCTGGTCTGACATATGCTGTCTGACAGGAGCTTCTGGTACATCCTAAGAGCCCCCTTGTCACACATCATGGCAAAGAAAACTTGGGGTAGGCTGGAAGTCCCGAAGTCCAGGCTCAGTCCTGCTGCTTTGGCACCCTGGGGGCTCCACAGGCAACATCCTACCTGCTGGCTCTTCACAGCTGTGGGAGGGGACAGGYCTGGTGGTGGCTGTCCATGGCACAGGTGTGCTGGCCCGTCTCACCTCTCCAGAGGAGCAGGCCTGGCTCCCCCAGAAGCTGAGTGGAACATATGCTCCCTCTAGAGCCCCTGCCGGTTCCCCTGGTGCCAGGCAGCAGCAGAGGCTGGACCATCCCAGCAGCTGGAGTGAAACAGAGGCCTTGTCACAGGCAGGCCCCAGCATGCCTACCACTGCCGTCTGACYGGTCTCCATGGTGGCAACCTGCAGCTGAACGTCCTTGGTCCACAGTCACCTTCCCTGAGGCCAAGGACAGCCCTAGCTGTGGACTCTGACTGTTCTCAGCCCTCTCAGGTTGACTGTGTCCTGAAGGTGACCTTGCACTGCCAGAGACTTTTTGAGCCTGTTTCTTTGCCTGAAACAAGGAAGTAAGATGGCTCCCCCTCGGGGCAGCTGTGAGGCAGGAGGCTCACGTGCTCATCCAGTCTCACACCCTGACCATCYTGCAGTGGTGTAGACATGCAGCAGTGCCTTATTTTGGACAAGAGCATCTTCCAATGAGGCAGAGTGGATGCTCATCAGTACCCCGTGGCTGCCATTAACAGTGCTCCAGGCTGAGTGATGTGCCCATGGGCAGTTCATTCTCTCACATGTCGGGTGCTTCAAGGCCAGGTCCTTCTGCAAGCCCAGAGCAGCCTCCCTGTGTGTTCCAGCTCCTGGTAGCTCAGGCATCCCTGGGCTTGTGACCGCCTGGCCGTATCTCTGCGCTTCCATGGCTCCTCCCTATGTCTGTCCCTTCTCTTGCCAGGACACCTGTCCCTGGAGGAGTGGCCTCCTTCCCTTGACCACATTCAAAGACCCTGTTTCCATATGAGGCCTTGTTCTTGTTCTGAAGTTCAGAGTGGGCATGGATGGGAACCAACAGGCAACTTGTCTTCATCATCATGTCCACTTGTGCAGAAGGCCGGGCAGCCCTGGTGGCCCACAGCTTCCTGGCCCTGAGCTCCGACTCCACTGGGCCCTCTCACCCCTCCAAGACCTGCATGGCCTGTCCAGGGGCACTGCTCCCATCTCGTAGTCTGCACTTTCCTCTGCCGTTTTGCACAGATCTTGCATTYTCCAGTCCTAAGGAGAGAAGCTGCAGCCAGGGATGTTGGGTGCATCCAGCGGTGTGGTCAGCTCGTTAGCAAGCTCCCAGGTGTCAGTCAAGGCCTTGCTCCTCTCCACAGTCACCATCAAGCATAGTTCTGCCCTAGGGGTCTGGAGGCTGCCGCCCTCCCCA